ACTGGATTAGCTAAGTAATGTAACCCAGCCATTTTTGCCCTTATCTCTTACAGAGTTGAGGATAAAATTCAAGATCCTTAATGTGGTATACAAGGCCCCTCATAATCTGGCTCCAGTCCACCTCCCAGCCTCATTTCTCACCACTTCCTTCCCTTACCCACTTAATTAGGAGCTTACTAGAGAAAGGTCATTAACTCCCCAGTGTGTTCGAATGGCCCAGACCTCTCCCATTCACCTCAGTAGTTCTCAGGAGGGGATGGAAGGATGACCAGGCCTTCTTTGTGTGTGGTATAGATGTGGGGGAATGGGTTACAGGATCCTGATGTGCTAGATTTACCACAAATTGATGAGGTGGGAAGTGAATTCATCTGGAAGGGATAAGGTTGGCTACTTTGATCAACTCGCAGAGATCAGAGTCTGTCCTCATGTGAGACAGAGCCACCCATATCACAGGCATCTTCAAGAGAGCAGCAATGACCCAAATGTGTCCCCCTCCAAAATTGCTGTGTCAGAGTCATAATCCCCAAGCGATGGTGTTTGGAGGTGGGGTGATCAGGAGAGAGGAGCCCTCATGATGGGATTAGTGCTCTTACAAGAAGAGGCTGGAGAGCCAGCTGTGTGAGAGCACAGCCTTCTCAAACCCGGAGCAGGGCACTCACCACGAGCTGACTTCTGGGCTCCAGAACTGGGAGGAGTAAATGTGTTGTTTCAGCCAGTCTTTGGCAATGTGCTACAGCAGTGTGAACTAAGACAAGAGCCATGTCTGGTCTCCCCTCTGAAGAGTCTCCATCAACTTGCTGTTTGTCAAGGATTTGGGTCATTCTTTTTCTCTAAAGGGGGGCCTTCAGATGCTCCTCCTGAATGCTCCTCCTGAATGGCTCCTCCTGAATGGCCTTCAGATGCTCCTCCAAGGCGGGGCTGGTAATGAATACAAATGCAAATCGCAAGCACAGTCTAAACTAGAGTAGTAGGTGGTCACTTTGTCCTGCCCTAGGAAGTATAATCTGCGAGGTGCTCCTCCAGCTCCAGCCATGAGGCTGGGATGCTGGCGTGTGAACAGGTGCACCTGCCCTCGCAGTGCTTTTTACGAAGGGCCCTCAGGAGTCTTGTCCTGATGGTGTAGTTAAGCATCTTGATTGTGGTGGTGTTTACATGAAACTATAGTTGGCATAAAATTGTGCGCACGTGCGCGCGCGCGCACACACACACACACGAGTATATGTGTAACTGGTCAAATATGAATAAGATCTATGGTGTGTACCAATGACAATTTCCTGGGTTTTATGTTGCACTGCAGTTAACATTGGGGGAGGCTGGGTGAAGGGTGCATGGGAGTCTTGCTGTACAGTTCTTTGCAAACTCCTGTGAATCTGTATTTCAAAATATAAAGTCTTTTTATTTGTTTGTTTGTTTTTATATATATCTTATTGATTTTGTACAGAGAGGAATGGAGAGAGATAGAGAGTTAGAAACATCGATGAGAGAGAGTCTATCGATCAGCTGCCTCTTGCACACCCCCTACTGGGGATATGCCTGCAACCAAGGTACATGCCCTTGATCGGAATTGAACCCGGGATCCTTCAGTCCCCAAGCAGACGCTCTATCCATTGAGCCAAATCGGTCTCGGCTCAAAATATAAAGCTTTTTAAAGGGGGTATGGACTCAGAATACTGGAGTACTTGATCTAGGATATAAAATAGTGAGTTAGAGATGGCCCTGAAGCTAGAAGATCCTGTTCCTCTGTGTCTGGGTCCAAAGATGTTCCTGAAGAAAAGGATGAAGTGGGAGACTTAGTAGATTCATAATGAATCGAGTCCGGAGTGCTGGAGTAGGCCTGAGCAGCCCAGGAAACTCTGACTGTCTTATATGCTCAGGTGACTGCCATCCACTAACTATGTTGGCCTTACTTAGCATCACTGCAGCTTATTTCGGTCTTCCAACAGTATTTATTAAGCACCTACTGTGTGCCTGGCACTCTTCACTCTTCTATGCTTGGTATGTGTCCAAGAATAAAACAACGAATCCTGCCCTAGTGAAGCCTATGTTCTAGCATAGGGGAGGAGGCCGGGAAAGAAAGGAAATGGTAATGCGAATTCTAGAGCATTCTAGCAGGTGATAACTATTATGTGGGAGGAAAATAGAGCCAGATAAAGGGAGCAAGAATCAGAAGGTAGTATGGGAGAATGTTGTTAAATTATCTGAGTTCTTAAATGATTGTATTGAAGTCAATCCTCTATTTGAATTTCTTTACCTACTACCAAATTCTATTATTCCTATTTCTTCCTTATTTCTCCTCTCCGTCTTTTATTTTAACCTTCCTTTATTCTGTTTCTTCAATTAATTCCTTTTTTATTTCTCTCCCTTTCTTAATGCCATCAGTGGTTTGTTGTTGTTTTTTTTTGTTTTGTTTTGTTTTTACCTGAGTGATAAGAGTAATTGCAAATTTAAAATTTATCACTTTTAATTATATTTAATAGTTTTGCTCAGAAGGGATACAGTAGAGTATTTAAAAGATAACTTTACATTTAATTTAAAAAATATGTGCAGTAATTTCCAAATGTACAATTTGATATCTTTATTTATTGAAATTCATATACAACACTGGACTCATATAGGTTAAAAACATAACAAAAAACAATTTTAGTTTCAAGTAAAATTTCCATTGGCAATACAGAATTAAAGTATGTATATTGTTTAAAAATGCATGGAAGAGACAGTATTCCTATTACGGGAAACTAGTCAAATACCCTGGTCTTATATAGTCACAAATGGAACCGGGATTTCACAAAACTCTAGCCTTATTGTAAAGGATTACTTTGGTGATTTCCTTTCACTAATAAAAAATAAGCAGTGCATATTTCCTCTATTGAACAGAGGTATTCATCCATTTTCTGCAAGACTTTTATATTCACTCTTCAGAGATATGATTTATTGCCATTATAATAGGTGTTACTGTGAAAATGAGATAACATTATAATCCTGGTTATACTGTAGCCAGCATGGGGAGAAATCTGTTCTTAGTCAATTAAAGACAGAATAACCCATGATTGTAACATCACCATCCATTACAACTCACTCAAATTCCAATGTGCAGAATGGGGGTGGGGATGGCAATGATGGTTCTTTTAACCAATTTGGTATGATCATTGATAATATTCCTTCAGAAGTAGAGATCTTATTTCTCATTATATATAAGAAAAAAACCAGAGGTAAAACATGCTGCCTTTGGATTTGGGAATTTCCTACATCCGTGCCAGTGGTAGAATGTAATTCTCAACCAGGCAAGACATTGTGTTTTTTGGGGACCTGAGTGTTCATTTTTTCCTAGAAATGAAGAACAACTTCATTTACTTGAGCGTGAAATGTAGGGTGTGCCCCCAAAATGTATACGCACACTTTGAATAATTATGAAGGCAGTGTTTATTAAAATACATTTCATTTTCAAAATTGAACTATCAGCTGTTAAAGTGTGTATACATTTTGGGGGGACACTTTGTATATAGGAATAGTCCCCAGGACACAGCCTATGTATTATATATAATATCTAGAAAGTCATTGGCAGTCAGAAAAGATTAAGTAAAACTAAAAGTATATTTTCTGGCTCAAAATATGGATTTTTAAAAACTTAAACATCTTCGATGTAAATATTTCAAACCATTTTTTCTTTTGCTATTGAGTTCATGTAGCCTGTTCTGTCTTAAAAAAAAAAAAAAGTAAAAGTAAAAATAAAAAACAAAAACAAACTTGTTTTAAACATAGGTTTATATCCAAATTATTTACTTTTAGATTTTTTTTAAAAGGTGGTCAAAATTCGGTTAAAGATCAGTTCTTTATATACTGCTAAATTTTAGAAAAAACATAAACTTATTTTAATCACCACAGTCTTACAAACATATCAAAATTGTTTTTTGTTCAAAATAACACAAGATTTTAAATAGCAGTATATAACTACACAGTGATTATTTTTATAAACTAAGTTAAAATTACATTTTTAAGGCACAGATAGTCTTTCATATATTTTATTTGTTCCTAATTGTGGTCCATGATTATCATATCAAAAGGTGATTTTGATAAACCACAATAATCTTTTTATTGCTTCACCTCTCTAAATCAATGCTTTCAAAATATATCAGCCTAGTTCTGCAGCTTTGAAGTGGACCTTGATTCTGAATTCTGGTTACACATATGGTCACTGTAACATGCATGATTAAGTACTAATGAAATTTGCATTTTAAAAACTTCTTTGCCATGTTTACCAAAAGTGATTTTGTAAGGCCTTTATTGATGAAATGCATTAACAATTCTACATCAGCATTTACTCAGTGGGCCCTCACCCTGTGATTCAGTGCAGCTCAGGGGGACCCAGGCCAGTCAGAAATGGAATGTTTTAATGATAATCATCCCCTACTCAACTGCCCCAGAGGCTTTCCGGTCACCTTATCCCAACTGAACAGAGGTACCCAATACCCACATGAACAGTGTGAGCCAACACGTCAGAGGTACAGCAGCACGACATAAGCAGATCCTAGCTAGACATTGTTAAATTGCCGGGGTAATTCTCCTCACCATTTTACACATTTTAGAGGTAAGCTATTTATTTTATAAATAAAGTCTAGAAACAATTTTAAATCTCTTGTCAAGGGTTAAGATGCTTTTTAAAAAAATAAAAATAAAGGATTTTTGAAAATTTAATGGGCCCAACTGGTGTGGCTCAGTGGTTGAGCATCGACCTATGAACCGGAGATCCCGGTTCAATTCCCGGTTGGGGCACATGCCCGGTTTGCGAGCTCGATCCCCAGTGTGGGGCAGCTAATCGATGATTCTCTCTCATCATTTATGTTTCTGTCTCTCTTCTTCTCTGAAATCAATAAAAAATATGTATAGTTTTAAAATCTAATGGAAAAAGAATGAGTGTTTCAAGTCCAAAGAAGTAGTCAATGCAGAAAATGCTTGCAAAGAAGAATTACATTGGTGGTTAAACTTTGCCTTGCAGCCCACTTTCAGGAAGCAAGGCTACGCATAGCCTGTGGAAACAAAGGGGAAACAAAGTGTTAATACAACTGAATTCTTAAGTCTTTTTACAAACATGTCAATGTTAGTGTTGGTTGCTTACATTTGCTCATCTTAGTTATATATTGTCATAATAAAAATAGGGTAAAAACTTAATTTTGTAACTCATCATCATTTAATTAGATTTATTTAAAAGCAATAATTACTAACTATTGAGCACTTAATACGCATCCTTTAATTTCCACAACTCTTTGAGGTATTATTATTTCTATTTTGTCCTGGACTACATAGCCAGGAAGTAACAGAATCAAGATTTGCTCATACCTCATCCTCGACATTAAGTTCTTCTTCAATCAGCTCTGCTTCCATTAATTCAAGAGGATCTTTATGGTCCTGGATGAGGGAGATCTTAACAAAGAGAACACAAAGAACATTTATGGAAAATATAATAGCATCAACTCACCTGATTCTCCACTGAAAATGACCTGAAGCGTTGCTGATGCTTCTTATGTATAATTATCTACACACTAGTACTTCAAAGTCTTTTTCAGCTTTCTTGTCCTTTTTATTTCTCACTTCAGATTTTCCCTGTACCATGTTTTCACATTCAAGTGTAAACTGGCATAGTTCTCCATTGTTAAACTCCTTTTCCACTCTTTCCAGCCTCTGAAGTGCATGCCTCTTGGGAGTCGCCCAGTCTGCCTGAATGATTCAGCAGTCAATTGTGTCTTTATTTCAAGGGCTAAACTAAGAGCACTTAGTTCAGCATTGAGCACACACTGAATGGGCTCGTGGCTGATGACAATAAACGGTCCCAAGTTAAATTGGATGGGTGTTCATTTCATTGGAGATGGAAGCCGACATCTATGGACCAAGTTGGTTGTTGAGGAAAGTTCTGCTTCTTGGCAGTAATCAATAACAGAGGACACCAGTAGCAGTTTGGACTTTGTCTTATGCATAAAGGCTATTCCCAAAGCTATTCCAGATGTTTATCAAGATAAGAGCGACATTTCATTTGTAGCTACTTTTTCATCTCACAAATCATTAATTCAATTCTCTTTGCTAGTGTAGAAATGAATTAGAGACTCCAGTCCCTGTGCAGATGGTCAGACATAATGGGAGAGTTAGAGGATAGGTGTAGCTACAAATTGGGACTTTCTTGGGATAGCCCTGGTGTTTGTCAGATGAAGGGATAGGGAGAGTCATATCACTGCATCCACAATATCTCTAAAATACAAATATTTTTTTTTGAAGAAAAGGAAAGTGTTAGAGGTAGGGTTTATCATTACTATCCATCTGCCATATCCAGAGCTTTGTGCTAGATACTGAGGATACACAGTATAAGTTCCTGACCTGAGAAGCTACCATGAGTGTTCAGCCCGTTAACCATTGAACAGTAAGTACGTAAGCACCCAATTGTACTCAGTCTGACATTTGTTCGGGGTCAAAAAACCCATCCCAGCCGAAACCGGTTTGGCTCGGTGTAGAGCATCAGTCTGCGGACTGAAAGGTCCCAGGTTCGATTCCGATCAAGGGCATGTACATTGATTGCGGGCACAACCCTGATGAGGAGTGTGCAGGAGGCAGCTGGTCGATGTTTCTCTCTCATCGACGTTTCTAGCTCTCTATCTCTCTCCCTTTCTCCTCTCTGTAGAATATCAATAAAATATGTTTAAAACAAACAAAACAAAACAAAAAATCCATCCCAGCCACTCACAGTGCCTCCCTGATTACAAGCAATCTGGAGCCTAACACTGGTGTGGGGCACAGCTGGTTAGTGGCTGTTGTGACATTCGTGGGATCTGAGATCTTGGGTAAGAACAGGCTGTAAACAAATAACAAAATAACTTTCCATGTTGAGAAAGAACTTGAAATTTTAAAAATTAATCCTCACCCAAGGATATACTTTTATTGATGAGAGACAGAGAGAGAAACAGTCAGTTGCCCAGTTGCCTCTGGTACAGCCCCAACCCGGGATCAAACCGCAGCCTCTCGGTTACAGGACAATGCTCCCCAAACTGAGCCACCCGACCAGGGCAATTCCATTTTACTTTTAATGAGGGACCTTTTTTTAACTACTTTACATGATTCCACTTTGTGGTTTTTACCTGTGGGTTAGAAAATTCTAAGTTAGATAGAAAAAGGCTTATGAGTTTTCAAAGATGAGCATTTTGCATGTAGCTTTTTTTTTTTTTTTTTTTTTTTTTTTTTTTAAGATTTGTGGTTTTGCTATTTTTATTTATTTATTTATTTATTTTTTATTCAACGTCCAGATCTTGGTATTTAGGACTAGTATTTTCTCTAGCAGCATTAAGCAGAGCAATCTCTCCCTAACTATTAATATATCTTAAAAGAATAATATGCTAATAATATGCTATTTTCTAACTTAGTTTTTTTTCACTTCAGACATTAACTTCCAGTTTACAATAAGAATCTACCTTAATTTTAGGCAGGGAGGGAGGAGGGGAAGAGGAGAGAAGCAATTTAAAATATAATAGACTTTATCACTAAAATAATTATGATGGTTATTTTTATGGATATTGTTTTTGTTTCCCAAATTCACTGTGGGAGGGTCTGTGAGAGAAGAGGTTTTTATACCAGAATGCCCACCCGCTCTCCCAGGTATTGGATAAGAGGATGACAAAATAAGGAGTCCCCAGGAAATGGGGGTTATTCTATTTCACGGGGCTAATTCATGGCCTTTAATTTTTTTTTTTTTTCCTTTTCAAAGATCACTTAAGACCTAATGGATCCTATTTAAAGACATTTATCATTAAGAGTTTTTAGACGGCTGAGAATTGAAACTGCATTTGTATATACAAGTCCCATAAGCTCCGAGATTCAGAGCCCATATTCTAACAAGGCACCACAGCTGAAGTCTACCTTTATTAGTAAACCTGCACATTCTATGAATGAGGTGCTCCCAGGTGCTTTCCTACAAACTACCATATTCAATCTTCATATCTGCCCAGCAAAGTAAATGTTTTTATTCCCATTTAACTGGTGAGAAAATTGAGGCTCTGAGAAGTTCACCCAAATGGCTTAACATCCTACTAGACTGAGACTCAAAGCTAAATTTGTGGAATTTTTTTTTGCCATTTATAGAAATCATGATAGTTCAGGAAAGATAAAAATGTAGAAAAGTGACATGTTTACCGTTTCTAAAATGGAATCTTGCATTTCTCGAGATTTAACCCGGTTCTGTACATGGAGGACAGCGTCATGGACAGTCAAAAAGAATATATCCTTTCTGTTATCATTAAAGAAGCCACATTTCTCCAGCTTTTCTATTACGTGATCTTCAAGAGAAAGAAAGAACGTTTAGTTAATCCTTAATATATTTTATAACATTAACCAGTACTAAGCTTTGGCAGCTCCTCCTTTTAATTCTTCCTTCTCATTTCCAAAATGTGACACTGCTCTACACCAAGTTTCTTTTCCAGTAGCACATGGCATGGTTATAACACAGCTGGTGGTAGTCGATGGCCTTGGTGCCTGGCCAGGTCTCTTGCCAGTGTCCCCATCCTCCAGCTGCTGTGTTTCTTGCTGCTATTAGTTCACAGCTGAGGCCTCTGAAGACCTTTCCTGGGCCCATGGGAACCATATGGCCTGAAAAGGCCTGGGAGGTCACACCTCCATCCTTGCATGATCTGCAGCCACTGACCGACATGGGGAGGGGGTTAAAAAGCCAGCTCCCTGGCCTCAAAGAGAAGTAGCCCTCGGGTGCTTTTCCTGCTGTGTCCTCCTTGTGAAACTAAGCTAAGGAAGACTTTTAAAAGTTTTTTTAAAATCTTTATTGTTGAAAGTATTACCTATGTGCCCCCCTCCCTTCTAGCCCACCACCCCAAGCCTTCACCACCCTATTGTCTGTGTCTATGGGTTATGCATATAAAAGTTCTTTGGTTGACCACTTCCCACCCACCCATCCTCCCCCACCTTCCCTCTGAGATGCTGCAATCTAATCTATGCTTCTCTGTCTCTGGATCGATTTGTTCACCAGTTTATTTTGTTCATTAGATTCCACATTTGAGCAAGATCGCGTGATACTTGTCTTTCTTTGACTGGCTTATTTCATGTAGCATAATACTCTCCAGGTCCTTTCATGGAAGGTAGACTTTTGCAACCATATCTTTGTCCAGCTTCTTCTCCTGCCCTTACCTGCTCCTCTCATTCCTTCATGAATTTTTCCAGGGTGTACTATCTCAGGAAATCACTGGTGCAAGAATCCTTACCTCAGTCTCTGTTTCTAGGGAACTCAGCCTAAGCATCAGTATCTTCCTACACACATTCTCGTCTACGTTCACAGACAGAATCATACCCTGGAGGGTCCTCTAGTTTTAAGGGACCTAAGTCATCTCCAGATCTGCTCTTCCTAGGACTGAGTTTCCACGGTGATTTGGCACTGCTCTGAGAACATCGGTTTCCTTGCATTCCAGCTCTATGGCACAAATTGGAAGTAATATCTCCCTCGGTTGAAAAAGGCCCTCAGTGTGAGTGCTTAATGGGTGTGAGTTCATGGCGATGAGAAGTTTTGGAAATAGATAGTTGCAATGGTTGCACAACATTGTAAATTTACTTAATGCCACTGAATTAAATGCCACTTGAATGTGACTAAAATAGCCAAGGTTGTTATACATGTTTTATCACAATAAAAAATCACTTTAAGGCCTTTGGTCATGATGTATGCACATTCCAAGATAGGAGGAAGTCTTATAGATAGATATGTACTGTATTTGTACGGCATTTACCTTGAAGCGATGCAAAGTACACATTTACATCAATTCTTTGGAATTCTTTGACAACCTAAAATTTTAAAAAGGAGAATTTGAGTAACTTTACCTGCCCATACTTCAGTAGCATTCAGTCACTTGCTCAGGAAAAACTTCAATACTTTCCTGGTTAAACAGGACTTTGAGGAAAGCTCATTATTGGGAAATCACAGAGGTTTTCAACCTACAGTAACAATATGGTTAGGAATGACAAGACCTGTCTCAGGAGGTGGTGACATCCACTGCTCAACAGCACAGCACTCGACAGCGGGTGTGCTTAATAAATATTTGTGGAAGGAAGAAAAGAAGGGAGTACAGGAGGCTTCCTAATACAGCCCCTGCAGACAGGAGACATGAGCATGAGCTTATGTCTTTGAGCGGAAGATACACGGTAGAGAAACACGGCCACCAGAGTGTAAATGTAAAAACTGACCTAGAAACCAAGGACTCTGTATTTTGACAGTGTCAGTCTTCGTATTCTGATTGGATTGTGATTTTAGACAATAGTTTTGCAAGATGTTAGCACTGGGAGAAACTGGGTAAGGGGTATAAAGGATCTCTCTGTATAATTTCTTACAACTTTATGGAAATATGTCATTATCTCAAAATGTAAAGCTTAATTTAAAAAATTGAGATGCAAAACCTATGGGCAATAGTAAAATAGAACATGAAATTTCTGGGGAGAAGAACAAGACCTCTATGCAAGGATACAGTTTGGATTTTCCACAATTGTCTTTATAGCATTTGAAAGCAAGTATTTGTTATGTGTGTAAAATATTCTGGCATTCAATAAAGATTCTTCCCCAAAGTAATTCCTTAAACACTTTTGGCCAACACAATTTCTATAATGCACTTGAGCCAATGTCTAGAATTAAAATGCTCTCAAATGAGAGAAGCTGTCAGCATTTTCTCACTTTTTGGGGGTGAAGTATAATCAGTTTTCTATCTTCCTGCCTAGTACCTGCACCCTGGAATAATTTCCTAGCCTTGCAGAAGTGCCAGCAAAGATAAACCTCAGTTGGGGGTCAGTTTGATATTATTACATTGGATTGTTGGTGTCTTTAACCTGCTTACTTTTCTACCTGACTTGTCTGATACCTACCTGAATCTTTACTTGAACTTACACTCCTGATCAAGTTGAGACCCCAGTTTGTCTGCTCTGGAACACTTAGTTCAGTTGTTATTGAAAAGGTTACTTCATGTTAGACTTCCTCTCTAGACTGCTTAGTCCTGTGAGGATAGGGACTATGACTGCTTATGCCTCTCGTGCCTGGCTGGGTGCCTGGCACATATTAGTCACTTCACATCTATTTGTTGAAAGAATAAACTCAACCTTGCATAAATGGTGTCTGATCTCATGAATATGTGTTCCTCAGCCCTTTGACTTCCTAGATGCCGGACCTGCTTCCTGTACTAACCTCTTAATGCCTCACTGCTCAGTCATTCCACGTACCCCTCATTCTCCATTCTACTGCTGCTCACGTAACAGATAAAAACCAATAGTTAACATAAATGTCCTTCTTTTCATATCCCTTTTCCTATTTATTCTCAGAAAGTATAATAAATGTTAATATTTGCTAAGGGATGGCTCTATGCCAGGTACTGTTCTAAACCATAAATAACCATATATATGCTTATTTAATTTTCAAAAAAACCACATGAAATAGGTGCTGTCATTATCCTCATAAGTGAGGTACAGACAGATTAAGCAACTTGCCTATAGACCCACTGCAGCAAGTGGTAGAGCCAGGATTCAACCCCAGGTAGTCTGGCCCCATAGCCTATGCTTTAAAATATAACACTATTGCAAAAGCATTCCTCTACAACAAGCACAGAGCCTATATAATCAATCGTCCTTTTGTAAGAATGGGCAACCCATATGGTTTTACTATTGCCAAAGCTCCTATCATTCAAAACGCTTAGAACCTTACCACTCGCAATGATCTCACTCCAACGACATCCAGGAAAGACACAGCTCCACAATCAAGCACAAGGCTATGGATTGGCACTTTGGGAACATTCACTTTCACTGGAATCTCAGAATTCCAATCCACTTGAATCTCTATTTCCTTGGTAGGGATATCAAGTTCTTCTGGGTCTTCAATATCTTCATCAGGCTCAAAAGCATTATTTGATGAACCAGCACCACTTATAATGCCATTCTAAACAAAGAAAATACTGACAACTTAATTGCTGATGATTTGGGATATTTTTTTCAACCAATTATTTCAAATTAATTAAAAATCCTACACATTGTTCCTTGGTAAACAAAACATGGAGGAAACTCTTAAGAAATAAGAGTTCATCCTAGCTGGTTTGGCTCAGTGGATAGAGCGTCAGCCTGCGGACTGAAGGGTCCTGGGTTCGATTCTGGTCAAGGGCACATGCCCAGGGGGCAGGCTCGATCCCCAGTAGGGGGACGTGCAAGAGGCAGCCAATCAAAGATTCCCTATCATCATTGATGTTTCTATCTCTCCCTCCCCCTTCCTCTCTGAAATCAATAAAAATGTATTCATAATATTTTTTAAAAAATGAGGTTTCTCTCAGTCTAACTGTTGATGTTCTCTAGGAAGAAAAGTGGAAACGCAGAAGAGCCCGGAAACTTGATTCTGGAAGACGATGGAATTGGCCAAGAGATACATTGGCAAGACAATCAAAAGGAAGAGCTCTAAAACTTAATGAACTTATTGCCTTCTATTATAATTTTATGGCACTGAATTGAATTATTTTGTTCCTTTCAGTAAAAATAAGATTTAATTTCACAATGAAAAAGGAACTCATACCCTCTGTTTTTTCTTGCTGGTTTAATTTTATTTCCTCTTGCCTACAAGAACAACTCAGCTGTTGTCTGACATATGTATGTACTCATCTGGGCACCAAAGGGGATAGATTTAACTTTAGATAACTAATTGTTTTCATTTTCACTGAGGAATAAAAGAATTTAAGAGGGGAAAGAACAATGTTGCCTCACCTTTGTTGCTCTTAATTGTCCTTTTTTAATGAGTTTCTGTATTTTCCTCAATGCCTTCAGCCTCTTATTATACACTCTAATGGCATCAAATCCAACCTTTGAAAATAAAAGTCAAGTTACTTAAAACATTTGGTTTCTAATGCCCATTAATGGCAATTGTTATGTGAAAAGGTTATTTCTCGAGTGGTATTATGACTTGAGACGTTCTGCCAAAATAGAAATTCCTGAGGTTTCCATGGTTTCCACTACTAGGCCATCTATGCCACCCACAGAGAGACTCAGTAGCATATTAAAGACTTCGAGACAATAGGAAACAAAACAGCAAAAAATAACTTCTTTTGCTTTAAATCTGTGTTTTACAAATTTCCTTAACATTAAAGAGCCCTTTTATTATTGCAAAATCTATGTATGTTCCTCTGAACCAGCAGTTCAGCCCAGAACTCACGTAGTAAAACACTGATCTAAAGATAAAACTTTGAAGCATAGCATGGAATTCAAGACCAGAACTTCCTGCTTCCATATTCTATACTTTCTAACCCTTTTACTCCAACTGGGCAGCCCTCCCCGAAATGTTCCCACCTTTTCCTCTCCGTTCTCAGAGTTTCCAAACACCTGATATAATCTCCTTCCTCCTGCCCACCACCACCCAAAGCCTGATGGTTCCAATAACAGGACCACTTCCTTCTATGAACTCTTAGCATGTACCATCGATATTATTCATTTAGAACTTACTCCAATTCTGCCTTGAGACCACTCTGGAGTTTTTGTCCAGCATAGTTCAGAGATCATAATAATCCGGCCACTCAGTGTATGTTATTGTTGTTGTTTTTTCCTACCCCCAATAGAGCTTTAGTTATTTGAAGGCAATGATGTAATAATTCTTAATGTCAGACCCAAAGGGAACTTTTGCCCAGTTTGAGCCCAATAAATACCTGTAGAATGAATGAAGTCTTAAAGGAAGTTAGCAACCAAATTTCTAGGGATAAAATACTTACTGTAGACTTGATGCATTTTTTAAAACCATCGACGTTGCCATAAAAAATAGGACTAGAAAACCTAAGAATCTTCATTCCTTCCGGTTCTTCAACCTAGCATTAAAAAACAAAACAAACAAACAAAAAGACACCTTATTTGAGATTAAATATTTTTAGGCCTCAAATATTCAATTAAATTTCTGGCTATTCAACTAGAAGCTGAGTTACAATTGTGAGAGGGGCTGGGTAGCATCACTCAATTATCCTTAAGAAGGGGTCTCATTACAGTTGGGAGATAATAGGTTACCCAAACTCCTGAACCTCCGTAGTCTCACAGGAGGTCATGCTAAAGGGCCTTAGACAGCAATTATTCAACCCTCTGATTTCTGGATGGAACAAACAAGCTCAGAACAATGACTTGAGGTGCCTCAAGTTCATGCCACTGCCCTCTTTTTTCCTCCAAATTCTTTTAAAATAGAAAAAAAAAAAGTAGCAAGATCAAGGGGATCTGCACAAGCTGAGGCTTATGATGTCTTTTCTTTTTTAATAATCCTCACCTGAGGATATGTTCACTGATTTTTTTTTTTTTTTTTAAGAAAGAAGGGAAGGTGGCAGAGAGAGAGAAACATCGATGTGAAAGAGTAACATCAATTGTTGCCTCCCATATGCACCCAATCAAGGGATCAAGCCTGAAACCTACATATGTGCCCTGACTGGGAATTGAACCCGCAACCTTTTGGTATACAGGATGACACCCAACTAACTGGGCCACCCAGCCGGGGTTATTGCTGTTATTTGCTTGTTGTTACCCTGACACAGAGTGGCCAGGTGAAAAGTAAAACCCACAGGATTATAGGCTGTATTGTCTTTAGGAATCATAACAATTTTAGTCCAACCGCATCAAAGAAGAAAACAGAAGCCCCGAGAGGCTGAGTGACTCAGATAAGGTCTCTAGAAACTGGAGCCTTCAATTCAGAACTCAGAACCCAAAGCCAAGAGATTCTCTAGAATCATTTTTAGCTCTTAATGGTACCTGACTAATATAACTGAGAAAGATTGTGGAAATAAATTGAGTAGCAGCTCCTGGAATTCCAGACTCAGTGTCCAACTTTTTCATCAAGGTCACTGGCTCAATTCCTGGTCAGGGCACATGCCCGGGTTATGGGTGTAATCCCCAGTCAGGGGTATGTGCAGGAGGTGGCCTATGGACATTTCTCTCTCACATTGCTGTTTCTCTCTCCCTCCCTTTCTCTCTCTTCCAAATCAATAAAAACATATTTTTAAAAAATTAGACTACAACTTCCTAGGGTTCACATTTTTTAATTAAAATTTTTATTTATTTATTTTTTGCTAAATTAGTGTTTTCTTCAGTTTCTTTTTGTGCTTTTTCAGCTTTGTTTTCCCTGCTGGTCACTAAGCAATCTTATATGCAGGAATCATAAGCCCATCAGTAAGACGTTTATTTTCTTTGTTTTTATTTCCTGAATTTATATTATTTCTTTCAATTCCAAGGATAGAGAACAATGTCAATTAGGTTCTTGGTAACATAGAACATGAAAATCTCTTATTAGAAATGAAAAAACATTTTCAAGAATTTTAGACAATTTTATAAAAGATACGGATTACATAGTTGAGAAACAGATTTTTCTTTCTCTTACTGCTTTAAATTTTTGTTAATGCCTTGCCTTTTAGCGGTGTGAATGTATGTCTAGTTATGGACCTATGTGTGTACAGCAATTGCGTGCAGTGGGCATTTTGGATTTGTATGTGATGTTTTTCATCAATTTGGGGGACATTTTGATATTTATTCAAATATTGTATCTGCCTTTTTTCTCTTTCCTCCTCTTTTGGGACTGTCATTATACCTATGTCAATATGTTTTATATTGTTCTATAGGTCTCCGAGGCTCTGTCCATATTTTTTATTGATGTATAATATAACATTATATTAGTTTTAGATATAGGACACAATTTGATATTTGTATATATTGCTAATGATCATCACTATAAGTCTAGTTAACATCTGTCCCCATACATAATTATAACATTTTCCTTGTGATGAGAATTTTATTTTTAAATATATTTTATTGATTTTTTACAGAGAGGAAGGGAGAGGGATAGATAGTTAGAAACATCGATGAGAGAGAATCATCAATCAGCTGCTTCTTGCACACCCCCTACTGGAGATATGCCCACAACCAAAGTACATGCCCTTGACCTGAATCGAACCCAGGACCTTTTGGTCCACAGGCCGACGCTCTATCCATTGACCGGTTTCGGCATGATGAGAATTTTTAAGACCTATTCTCTTAGCAACTTTCAGGTATGTAATACAGTATTACTAACTATGGTGAGCAAGCTGCACATTATAGCCCCATAACTTATTTGTTATATAACTAGAAATTTGTTATATAACTGGAAATAACTGAATTATCTATATTTAAAAATTCTTCTTATCATGGTTTGACATTAAAATGACCTTCAACTAGCCTGGATGGAATTCATGTGAACCATGGATGTCAGAGGGCACATTGAGTAGGAAGTTTTCATGACACCCAGTGGACTTTGGAATTTCTTGACAGAGCCCCCCACCTGTTTCAACCTTGTCCCTAACATCCTGGGAGAGAAATCTGCAACCCCGGAGAGCCAGGCTCACAAACCAAGTCCAGCAAATGACTCCCACAGGCACTCACGTTTTTGTAGTCCTTGGTACTCTTATAGATGTCAGTGTTAGGGATGCTTCCAAGACCGCTCCAGGAAGGACTAAAAGAAAAATTAAGGTCAGGATTTTTTATTATTTTTTTTGCGGGGAGAGGGGGATAGGCATATTTGGAATAAATGGTTAGAAGAAATAACAGCTCCTAAAGAGCCCATCGTTCTGATGCTTTGAGACAGATGACACATTCCTGCAGAGAACACTGACGTGAACAGCTGGTGTTTGTGTGCCATTGGAGGAGGAGGGGGAACCCTGACTCTTTTCTGAGGCTGAGAGAAAAAATGAGCGTCACACTAACATTTTAAAGGATAAGCGAAGAGCTTTCACACCTCTTCTATCTTAAGTCCCTCCAGAACGCTGAAAGGTCAGCAGTATTATCCTCATTTTTATTGGTGAGTAAACTGAGACTTGGGGAAGTTAGAAAAGGCCCCGAAGGCAGGAGCAGCCCAGCCCCGAACCTTAACCCATTGGTCTTCAGCGCCGGGCACAGTGCCAGGGCCTGGCACTTACTTGTCAGTAAATGCAATTTTCTGATGAAGCCTGGATAGTCTGCCGTGATCAAATTAGCCGGGTTTTATACCAACAGGAGCCTGGGAGGACCAGAAACTAGCCCTTCCCATTTCCTGCTCCTGCTGCAATCAGATCGATTCCATGAATCTTCCACTGCGACTGGGGACATATGCTAACTAGATAATTCCTGAAGAAGGAGTATCTGCTTGGGGGTACTTTCAGCAATGAGCTCTCTGGACCAGCCTTATAATTACTGGAAATTAAATAATGTGGAGGATACTGAATTCTGTTGGCTAGAAGCCTAGATAAACTAACTCGGCAGCTAAAATGTGCCACCCATGTCTCCTCTGCTTACTGAGCTGTGCTGAGTTTTAACTTCAGGCTCATACATGAGATAGGCTCTCTCCACAAAACCCTCTCTCCCACCCACAGCCACCCAGGAGGTGTCCAGAGGAGAGGCAGCCTGCTGGAAGGACAGCTCCGAGTTACTAGGCAGAAGCAAGCGGGCACTTGGTGGGCATTGACCCCTTGGGGGCCCTTGGGCGCCATTGAAGGGCACTGAGGCAGGAGACAGCCCTTTGTAGGTTCCCACATGCCAGCGGAGGAAGAAGGGAGAGAACTGGTTGGTGGAACAGGAAAGGGGACTTCGGCTAAACTGAAAACGTCTGTGATGATGGTTTTCCAGGTTTTTTATTCCCTCGCCACACAAGCACAGACAGAGACGGGGCCAGAAGTCTAGAAAGATCAAGTCGGAGGAGGGAGAGAAGCTGTTTCCCGCTCTCTTCAGACAATGTCATAGACCCAGGAGCGCTCACACCAAAGGCCTCTCAAGAGTCAAGACAGAACCAACAGAAATCATGTCCCTGGAGTGGCCTCCATGTGACACCCCATTACACTGCGTCTTTGCCGCTGTCACTCTGAAGATGATCTCATTATGTTTTCTTCACATAATTGTGTGGCTTATCGGGTACAGATTTGAATGCATTTTGGCTGCAATGAACTGTTTTAAAGTCTCCTGTTCTGGGTTACATAACTCTGGGTTACTAGCTTCAAAAGCAACAAATGAAAGACATATGTAGCAGCTATCCTGTCCTGAGCCCAAGCCCAGTGCCTCACAGACTTCATCTCATTTTAAAAAGAAGCTGCAAAGCAGCCTCAGTTTTTTGCTGAATCTACTATCTCTGGGTCTTACCATGACTAAGAGGAGAGCACCAGCATTAGAGCTTGGGACTAAGTGTATGGATGATGGGGTGAGATCCACCTGGGCTCCAATCCCGGTGCTGCCTATTACTCTCTCTGAGATCTTAAGCAAGGTTCTTAACCTGACTGAGCTTCAACTTTCTTACCTGTAGGATGAAAATCACATAACCTACTCACAGGACTTTTTTGAAGATTAAATAGAATAATATGTGTAGAGCACTTACTATGCGCTTGCACGTACTATATAGTAACTGTTACAAAAGGAAATCATTTTACTGTATTTATCAAAATGGTGTAAGAAATCTCAGGGTGGGCTGTTCTTTATATAAGTAATCTGGGTCGTATATTACTCACAACTGAATTCTCAGGACCACCGTCAGTAATCCAAATACAAGGCCAGCTAGTAAACCGAGGTCCAACCCCAGAATGATGGACATTATGCATGTAAACACCCAGATAACCTAGAAAAAATATAAATAAAAAGGTCTATGTTAATTTATCATGTACCATCAGGTGAGGGATTGCATGTAAAAATAACAAGATCAATTGTCCATGAACAAGTTATAGTTGGCCCTTAGACAACACAGTCTTGAACTGCATGGGTCCATGGGTTGTTGTTGTGTTTTGTTGTTGTTGTTGTTGTTTTTTTTCAGTAAGACCTATACAAGTATTTTTCTTATGCTTTTATTCATAACGTTTTCTTTTCTCTAGCTTACTTTATTGTCAGAGTACATATATAATGCATATAGCATACAAACATCGTGTTAATCAACTATTTAAGTTATTGGTAATGCTGGTCAACAGTGAGCTATTAGTAGGTAAGTTTGGGGGGAGGGGTCAAAAGTTATATGTGGAGCCCGGCTGGCATGGCTCAGTGGTTGAGCATCAACCTATGAACAGGAAGTCATGGTTGACTTCCCAGTTAGGGCTCATGCCCGGCTTGTGGGCTCAATCCCTAGTGGGGCTGTGCAGGGGGCAGCCAATCAATAATTCTCTCTTATTATTGATGTTTCTATCTCTCCCTCTCTCTTCCTCTCCGAAGTCAATAAAATATATATGTATATATATTAAAGTTATATGTGGAATTTTGACTATGTAGGGGGTCAGTGCCATAATCCCCACACTGTTCAAGGGTCAACTGTAGAGCTTTTTTTTAATATTCTGATTTCATTTCATATTTAAGTGGATGTAGAAATGGAAATTGGCATATAGGCCAACTCTCCTATTTAAATTTTTAAATTTCATTTTAGAATAGGTAATATATTAACATGTTCAGAATGACATTAATATAAAGGTTATGCAGTAAAAAAATCTTATCTGCACACATCTCCCCTCCCTTTTCATGTCCATCCTCCCTCCCTGATTGTATTCTCTTTTATTTCTCTCTCTCAGTGTCTGGGTGTGTACAACACACATGCACACTTTTCACCAGCATGTCCTTTTGAAAATACAAGTAAATATGACTACAAAGCATGTTTTATTTTTCCATCTTTTAGTGTGTTATACACACTCTTCTATTCTGCGCTGATCATTTTTTTCACTTAACAATTTGCTTTGGAGATCTTTCCATATTGATATACAGGGAGTTATCTCATTCCATTCTTCTGTTCTGGTTTAAATTAGAGCATTACTCTTAAAGGATTTCGTTTCTGGTTTTTCAGAACAGCTGTGAGGGTTACTTTGGTCAGAATTATTATCCACATGAGTTTTTGTATTTTGTCTTTGTGTTTGCTTTGCTTCGTGTTTTGTTTGTTTTGTTTGTCCTTCTAAATTAGAGGGTTTGTTGTTTCTTTGGTTGGTTTGGGCTTTAGAAGGCAAAATGTATATGACTGGCATTCTTGCTGGAAATGGATCTTTCCAGAAATACAGGACCTTAAAAAACACACAGTTCAGGTGGAAGACTTCAAAGCTTTGGTTATCTACCCAATTTTAATTACTGTCCTGGGCTCCCCAAATGCAAGACTTAGGTGATAAGGGGACACAATGATATGGCAGGAAGCAAATAAGAACCAAATCTTTTCTTTCTTTCTTTTTTTTTTTTTTTTTAAAGAACCAAATCTTATTTCAGAGAAAAGTGGGTGACTTACAGCATCAATCTTGTTCTGCCTCCATAGACGAGGAACATCACACACTTGCATAAACATCCCTTTCAGGTTGGCAATGACAACAGCTGCCAAGACCGACTGCCAAGAGAGACAGAGAAGGCTGTGTTATTCGGGGGAATAGTTTTCCATGTGATGATTTATAAATCTCCTGTGATTTATCTGGTGGCAGAGCAGAGAAATTATGCAATCAGTGCACCGAGAAGCAGGGTTATACCTTCTGCAAGGGTTCCAGCAGCTTCCCCAAGGCAACGATGGCGATCATCACAACCCCAGCTGAGATGATGCCAGCAACCTGAAAGACACACAGCTCCCATCAACAGAGTTCTCCCTTCTCCCTCATGTCTCCCAGCATGCTGACTGTGTGCATCACAGAGCCCGTTCCCAGTGCACTTGATGCTCCTGACCTCTTCCTTATGCTCATACTATTGAGAGAAATAATAATTATTTGCTAAAACTCTACAAGACTGAAGAAAAATGGAATATATATATAGCAGCTATGGCAGAGAAAAGAAAGAAACTGTGGAGACTGAGTCTGCTAACTAAAGCCAGTTTGACCTGGATTTCATCTGGATATAGTAGACCTGTAGGTTTAGGGTCGGTTCAGAAGGCCAAACTTGTAATAATTTGCCCTCTCAGGAAACATGGACCATTCTCCCTCCCAACAATAGAATACGGTCATGTTTGGGGGAAGTAAATTCTCAGGGAATTTACTGATTCTTCTGCATCATTGAATCAGAAGCCATAATAAAAATTCTGTTAACACTGTACTTGTAGCACATCTTTGCCACCAAAGTTTCAGACAAGATAAATTTGTCTGTCTTATTGCAAACTCAAAAATGCAACATGAGCCCAGCCAGTGTAGTTCAGTGGTTGAACATTGACCTATGAAATAGGAGGTCACAGTTCTATTCCCAAAGTATATTATGTTCTCTCATCATTGATGTTTCTATCTCTTGCTCTCCCTCTCCCTTCCTCTTGCTGGAAATGGATCTATATATATATGATAATAAATTATATATGTGTGTATAAATTATATATATGTATGTATATATATATGTATGTATATATATGTGCGTATATATATGTGTGTGTGTATATGTGTGTGTGTGTGTGTGTTTTAATTAACTTATTTTTAATGCCACATGAGCCTACTGAGAGAAGGGACCACGTCTCCTGCTTTCCCTAACAGTTCTGCAGATATAGGCTCAGAACTTTGCATCCCAGTAGCCAGAGTGTTGACAGGAAATAGCAGGGATAAAGAAAGCTTCAGAAACTTTACCTTTGTTGGCAAAAATAGCTCCCCTAAGATCCATAAACAGTTAGGAGAGAGGATGAGGGAGTGGGGACCTATTCTCTGGTTTGATCAGATGACCAATGAATTCTCTGTTCAGCTGGGGCATGGCCAAGGTGATGACTAGAAGCTCTGAAACAAAGGAGAAAAGGAGACAGGAAACCAGAAAGCAAAGTAATCAGAGAGGAAGCAACAGGAAAGGTTGTGTTGGGCACAAGTACTGCCAGTATAAGATGTTTGAGTTAAAGGAGACAGATACAAATCTTAAGGAAATTTCACAGTCATGCTTATTTATATCACCCAGCAAACTGATCATTCATATTCAGAATATGGATAGGTCAGCCTGAGGCAATATTATGTATACGATGTATTAATCACACCTCCAGATTCCCAGTACCTGGGTGAGTTTTCCTATCTCCTATCTAAGCAGAGAAGCTACCATATTTTCTGGCTTATAAGACGATCCCTAATTTTACAGTTAAAACGTAGGTTTAGGCCTATATTCGCTGTATAAGACCACCCCCCACTTCCGAGGCAACACCAGTTCTTTTTTTAATAGACCGTCTCTCTGACTCTGGCCAATCTGAGCAGGCCTTTTACTAGAACACAGTGTACATGTTCTGTACCCGAAGCTACACTAAGCTACACTGTGTTCTAGTAAAAAGCCTGCTCAGATTGGCCAGAGTCAGAGAGACGGTCTATTAAAAAAAGAACTGGTGTTGCCTCGGAAGTGGGGGGTGGTCTTATACAGCGACTATAGGCCTAAACCTATGTTTTATCTGTAAAATTAGGGGGTCGTCTTATACACCGGAAAATACGGTAATATCCTCCATCCCTCCCTTTCTTTCTTCCCTTTTTCTGTGCAATTCTCTAGTCAGAACTAGAGAACAGTTTGTAATTAGAATTCCTTTTTTTTGTGAATCAGTAGGAATCAGAGGGGGCAACAGAAAGAACAGGTTGCAATGTTGAGCTCTCCTGCAATCTATAGAGGTACAGAAACAGTTAATATACACTAACATTCATTCTGTTCATTCACTCAGCAAGTTTATGCTGGGTGCTTCTGTGACAGGATAATAATACGTATCATAGATACCAAGACACTGTTCTTATCTTGAGGAGTTCATGACTGGAACCATGAGCATTTACAAGTACACATGTGCCAGGACTCTTCAAACATTTCCCCCTTTAATCCTCACAACATTCCTATGTAGTAGAAATAATAATTATTATATACCCATTGTATAGATGTAAAAGAAAACATGAGAAGCCACACAAAGGAAGACTTGCTGGTGTATTTGGTCATGAGTCCCTGGGTTTCAGTCCAGGCACTTAGACTTTTAACCCTAGAACTTAGCTTACATTTCAGTAATTAAATATCAAGACATTTCTATGCTTGTTTCATTCTCCAATTCTGAAATCCTGGCATCCTTTTATTCTAACTGTAACACACACCCATGTGTGGCAGGGGGGGTGTTAGCTTACCAAAACACCATTATCCCCAAACCCTCTGCCAAGGAGTCATTTTACACCGCATTCTTACTGGGCAGCCGGCCTGTATCTCATCTGAACCTCGAGGTAACAGCAGGACAGTGGACATCAGCAGTTGGGGATCTGCCTATATCTGCTCACAGCCATGTGACTGGAGAGCTTGTCAACGCCCCATCTCAAAGGAAGGCAGCAGAGGCTCCTGCTGCTGACAGCTACCCGCTGAACATGGGTGTAGCTTTGGAAATCACTTCTGACCTTTTCCCCTTTGGCCCTCTGGCTAACTCCCTGGTAGGAGCTGCCTTGTTCTACTTGCTTCCTCATAGCTAGAAATGTTTGCAAGAAAAAAGAAAAAAAAAAGTCAATTCAATTTTACAAAGAAATTTGTAAAAATTAAAATTGTTCAACAGGAGCCAAGAAATTGGCAGAGGCCCGTTCTAACAACCCTGTCACCACGACCCATTATAAATGGGAAAGGGGCATCTTGGGCCCCTGGGGGACAGTAGACGCTCTCCCTGTGCAAGCCACTGGGGGAGCCCTTAGTTTATCGTTTTTCTCTTTTATGCTTATTTGTAGTGTCTCTGCCTTAATAAAACCCCATGTGAAGACTCTGCGGGTGTGTGTGCCATTCACTTTGGATGTCTTGTTCTCCTTTACAGTCTCAATGTCTTCTTTACTCTTGAATAAGAGCTCTTTCTGTGCTGGGAGGCAAAAGCCCTCTGGGCATAAGAGAAGCACAATGGCCGGGACCGATTTGGCTCAGTGGATAGAGCGTCGGCCTGCGGACTGAAAGGTCCCGGGTTCGATTCCGGTCAAGGGCATGTACCTTGGTTGCGGGCACATCCCCAGTGGGGGGTGTGCAAGAGGCAGCTGGTCGGTGTTTCTCTCTCATCGACGTTTCTAACTCTCTGTCCCTCTCAATTCCTCTCTGTGTAAAATCAATAAAAATATATTAAAAAAAAAAAAAAAAAAAAGAGAAGCACAATGCCTGAGCCTGGCCCTGGCCCCCCACCACTGGAGTTGGCATCTCTGACTCCCTGTTTGGTTGAAGAGGTGGCCTTTGACAGTGGCTCCTCAGTTTTCTGGATAATTAAGGGGGAGGGGAGAAGGGAGGATGTCCAGAGATGAACTAGGATGCAGGTTTTGGTGTCGCCTTGTGAAGGCAACAGCTTAAGAACACATAAAAGGCAAGGTTCAATCCACATTCGGAACTTGAGGGGAGAACATCTTCCTCAGGAAGAAATATCAAAATGTTTCAGCAAATATATTCTTGGGCTGAAACCGGTTTGGCTCAGTAGATAGAGCATCAGCCTGCAGACTCAACCCGGTTCGATTCCGGTCAAGGGCATGTACTTGGTTACAGGCACATCCCCAGTGGGAGGTGTGCAGGAGGCAGCTGATTGATGTTTCTCTCTCATCAATGTTTTTAACTATCTATCCCTCTCTCTCTCTCTGTAAAAAAAAAAAAAAAATCAATAAAATATATATATTAACTATATATATATATATATATATATATATATACTTGGCTGTCAACCTGCCATTCCTTGGGACCCAAGGCCTCTGGAGGAAGTTCCTGATCCTTGTGGAGGAAAGGTAAATAAACACTTCTAATTTCTCTGAAAATATAATAACTCCCTAAGCCACCAATGTGCTTTTGCTAGACCTCCTCTATCTCCAGATAGCACATGGATAAGAACCAGCATTCTTCCCTTACTGGTCCTTTGTCAATTGTTATTGAAAAGCGGGCAAGTGTGACCATCTGCCAGCTCCGCACGGACACGAAGGGATTGGGGAACTGCTGCCTCAGAAAGACCACAGATGCTGCTGTTTAAGAGGTTTTTGGGGAGGGGGTGAAGCAGGCAGCCCAGCGTAATCAGATCAGGAAGTGCTGCCTCTCTCCTCTCAAAGGCTAATTGTCCTACTCAGTCAGTTCTTGTGCAACCCGCACAGAGCTGCCTTTCCAACGCATTCTCTGCGGTGGGCGGCTATTTCCACGCTGAGTTCTTCCCTACCTGTGTCTTTCCTCCCGTGCTCTCCTGGACGGCTGTACGGGACAGGGCGGTGGTAGCCACAAAACACGAGAAGAACCCGGAGAAGATGTTGCTAATCCCAAAGGCAACGAATTCCTAAGGGAAAGAACAGATGACAGCGATGCCGCAGATATAATCTCTTCAAGCCCCAAGCCATGTAAGGAAAAAAGCAAATTTGCAAACCCTTCCTGCCTGATAGTCCCAATTTAATTTTTGTCATGGAAGGTGCTTAGGGCCCAGAAAAAACACCAGAAGTTTGGGGTCCTTAAGAATCTAAAAGAGGCCTCACTACTCTCATCATTTTTAAGGCTGATGAAGAGAAGTAACTGATGTTTTGCTAAAATGCTTATTTCACTTCCTGGTGAGAGGCATGTCTGCCATAACTCTCACAGAAAACATTTTTCTGCTCTCACATAAAGTGTTATTTCTGTGGATGAATATTTGCTATGATGCATTTTATGACTAGGAGAGCGATTATGCTGCTTGATTACTAATCTTTTAACTGCTGTAATTGCTATGCTGGGTTTTCAGGGACATAACTGAGGATTTGTGAACTCACCTGGCAACGTGGCAGATGCCTACAAAAAGTGTCTTGTGTACATTAATTAACAGTGAACCATCTAAATTTAAAGTGGCCACAGCTATTATTAAAAGTGTTTGTTGCACTGTTTTGCCACCAATAAAAAAAAATATTATTAGGCCGAAACCGATTTGGCTCAGTGGATAGAGCATCCGCCTGCAGACTGAAAGGTCCCAGGCTCGATTCCGGTCAAGGGCATGTTCCTTGGTTGTGGGCACATCGGCAGCTGATCGATGATTCTCTCTCATCGATGTTTCTAACTCTCTAACCCTCTCTCTTCCTCTCTGTAAAAAATCAATAAAATATATTTAAAAAAAATTTTTTTTTAAATATTATCAGATGTGGGACTACAGGAAGAATTCTTATTCTGACCTAATATGTTAACTTTGAATGATATTTAGGACCTGACAGAATTAACTCTTTTAGAATTCTGATTCCTTTAACTGATTTCTTAAAACTAATCGATGCAGTGTGCATATTTTAAAAATAATTTCAAATTGGCACCGACAAGAAAGAATCCAACTCCATATAAGACTGGTAGAAGAAACCAATCTCTTCTTTAGCAGGCAACAAAATCTTCCCCATTTATTTATTTTTCTTATTTTCAGCCCTAGAAGACCAATTCAGGCCTGGCTAATGTGGTTCAGTGGTTGAGCATCGACCTATGAACCAGTAGGTCAAGTTCGATTCCCATTCAGGGCACATACCTGGGGTTGCAGGCTTGAACTCCAGTAGGGGGTGTGCAGAAGGCAGCTGATCAATGATTCTCTCTCATCAATGATGTTTCTATCTCTCTCTCCCTCTCTGAAATCAAATATATATATATATTTGATATATATATATATATATATCTCCAGCTCAGCAGAAGGGTGACCATACCTGGTTCCCATCGATGGTGTAATCATACTTGATGGCGTATACTTTTCCTACAGACACTGCAATAGCATAAGCCACCACGGCGATGGAGAATGATGAAGCCAGCATCTCCGAAAACAAGTTCACAGGTGGCAGTGCAGGAGGCAAGAACCTAGTGAAAAAAGTGAATATTTGGCTGTAATTCTCTCTTCCCACCTCAACAAATGCTAATCACCCCAGCCATAAACTAGACAAGAAAGTACTTGATCCAAGAGGGCAAAAGCACATGAGCATAAGTCGTAGCATCCGCTTTTATAATTTTTAGTCAGAAGTTGGTGTCATCTCATTGGCTGACTTCTTTGTCCCCAATTGAGAGTCTACAAATGCCATCTTCTCTGTACCTCTGATTTGAATAAACCTGTCATGGTTGGTTCTTTAATATCATACAATCCTATGCCATGCTTTTTCACACATTAGTGTTTCTCCTTACACAATTTCACTTTAAAAATCTTTGCATTTCAACAATATATACTAGCCATGAAATGAGATTTACCCTGTGTGAAGGGATGTTTATTAAAGAAATAAAGAATATAAGAATAAAGTGGAAAATCCATACCTTAAGATACTTAAAATCTTCTAGAATTCAAAAAAGAGGAAATTTATGTCATTATCAGCATGCTTCCTAGGTACAATGACTAACCTATCCCAGGGATCATGGGAGGGTCAAATTACTACTGTTCTACAAAACTAGAGCTTTTCTACAAATTATATAAAGGAAAAACCCCACAAATTTATAGGTGATTGTGTCCAAATATGAAAATTTGGGTGATGACATTCATGGACCTATATCTTGATGACTGTTCCCACGGTTTAATTCCAAAGATCCTAGAAAGAAATATCTCCCCTACCTATCTCACTATGCCTGAAGTTCCTTTAAGAGGAAATTACAGTTTTTCCTCTATAATTAGAGGGATGTGGCAAAGTAAAAATAAGATTCTCATAGATATAAGGTTCTTATATGGATTTATTGGGGACCAAGTGGTCCTAACATATGGTATTGATCCTCAACAGGATAAAAGGAAACTGCTGACAGAAGCTTCACTTTTACTCCCTTATTGGAGGGTTGAAGGGGCCTGAGTAACAAGGTGGGTTATCCAGACCTTTCTGTTTGCTTTCATCGTACTCACCTTTAACACTCTACCTTTTTTGCTCTTTTCCAATCTCTCCCCTCCACCCTTTCTTTTCCGGTTTTGTTAATGTCTTTAGACTTGTTTCAGCGCAATCCCATTAGATCAGGCAGCCAAGTCCTTTCGGGTGGCTTGTTCAGAATGGTATAGTCTTGGGTGTTTTATTCCTTTAACAAATATTTTCTGGGATCCTACTATGAGAGAGGTACTGTGCTGGGAAGTCAAAGCTGAGGTAGACACATGGGCTCAGTGCCTTGAGGAGGAGCCTGTGGTCCCTGGGGCCAGGCAGGTTGGGTTACCTAACCAACCACTCCAGGTGGTCTGTCAGAGGCCTCATCAGAACTAAATCCAAGAGCAAGAGACTAGAGATCCATTTTCAGGGGGAGAGCAGCCTGGGAAGCTCTAGATAGGGTAGGAAAGGATGACTTAGGGCAGCAGAAATGAGTTCCCCATATCAGTTCATGAAAAGTGGGTTTATGGGACGAGGCATTCCCTGTGGACCCCCTCCAAGTGTTTCCTCTTGGGAAGTCCCACAAAAGGGATCTACATTGTGTTTTTATGCAGTTATTTTTAACTACTGAGATAATCTAATTGTTCTGGTGAAAATGCTCCAACTCAAATAGCCAGTCTGTATCTTCTATTTCATTCCGTTCAGCGCTAGGATTTACTATCAAAATGCTGAAACTCTAAGGTAAAGAGCTTCCCAAATATAGCTGGTCATAAGAATCACTGGAAGTGCCTCTGAAAAATATAAATTCCGAGGCCCCTTCTCTGGAAAGCCTGATTTAATAAGTGTGGGGTGGGAAACAGGAATTTTTGTTCACAAGGATCTCATGTGATTCTCACAAAAAGGTAGGTCTGAGAAACATTAGCATGGAGAATATGTTCATTAAGCCCATTGTAGTCAATTGTAATTTTTCAAATATTTTTTAAAGCAGATATTAGAAGGAAAATGAGGTTGATCGAATGAAAAGGCAGCTGTTCCCTGTGGAACAAGCACTAGGACTCAGCTAGCCTGGGAACTTTCTATTAAGAGCATGGAGACTGTACAAAGATTGGTACAAGGGCCCTCAGCTAGTACTCAGGGGACTAGTACTTAGAAGATATATAAGGGGAAGTCTAGTCAAATGCTGTAAGTTAATGTTACAAATCTAATAAACATTTGGGCTTCTTTTTTACAATGCCATATGATAAAATTATAATGAAGGGCACTTGGTCCACTCTTTGAATTTTATGAGATATCTCATTAGCATTTCACAACAAGCTCGAGCTGAAGTTTCAGTAGTTGTCATTACCCTTGCTTTATAGAACACTTCCCTCCCACCCCCACCCCCAGGGCCACGGAACTAGTTGGTGTCAGAGATGGACAAAAGACCTTAGTTCTTTACTCATCTAATTCACCAAACACATATAAGACTTCCTTTGCAGAGTATGCATTTTATTGAGAGGACCAAATGACATAATGATTACCTAAAACTGATGAAATGAAATAGCAGAGAATTTAGATCAGATGTCCCTGATTCCTTAAGCAGACTGTCCTCAGTGCAAAAAAATTAGAATGTTACTATTCATGATTCTATTTATATTATACTGTAATTATACATATGAGTTTAAATCAGGAGTCTGGTAGAAACTGTACACGTCTTGCCACTTTTTAAGAACATGAAGGACAAAGAGAGTCCATAATTCAGGCTGCTTTTAAACAAATGAACTGAACTTTATCTTTGATAGTTTGCACAAGTGGGCATTTATTTAATATCAGACACAAATAGGACTATTGAAGGAGCACCAATGAAATGAAGCTTGTAATAAAAGGTTTCATTTAAATAGAAAGTACTGCCTTAATAAATTGGTATTGCCTAAGAGGAATGCCATACTCACCCCCTTGGGATGGATTTCACAATGCCAGCATTGTAATTTTTTTCCAGGTTGGCTCCATATGAAATGGCAGTAGCAATTATTGTCTGAAATAAAACAAAAGAGGTTTTTAAAAATCTATTTGTTTTAGAAATTCCTTCTTGCCAAACCAACTAATGCCAAATTTTCTAATTACATATTCTACTTACCACAATTACTTCAATAGGAATAGGGATCGGGATTTTGTGTTTAAATCGATCATTTAATTCCTTAACTGCCATACAGATGATAATGGTGAGTAATCCAGCAATGAAATCAGCAAGATTGGTGCTACCAATATTTTGAAAAGTATCAACTAGAGTCTGTAAGAAAAATTATTTTAGAATTCTCTTATGAAAAAGTTATGATAACAAATAGCACTTAAAATTATGTAAAATCACAAAAATATGTTGACTAATACAAAGACCATTAACTATATCTCAAGTTATTAATGATGGTTTTCTTGGAGTAATAAAGTTTTGGATGATGTTTACTTTCTTATTTTTTTACTATGTGTGTTTTTTACAATAAAATGAGGAAAAAATGTCTTTTACTTGCAGGAAAACTTTAAAAGTTTGCATCTTAAAGTGGTTTTACATTTGCTATTAACTGGCCTAATTTTTACCATGTTGATATGGTACTGTTGAAACTAATAGACTGATAAATCACACAGTCCAAATTAGCCAGTATTTTAGGTAAATCTCTTTCCAAAACCTGAATGATATAGGTGATAATAAAATGCCTAAAATACTTTATATGTAATTACATATGGGCTGACCTATTCATATTGCCAAGAAACTCATTGAACTGATATATAGGTCAAGTATAAAATTTTGGAAATTAATTTGGTATTTAGTTCAAACTTTAAGATGACTTAAATAAAAGCAACTCTTTCCAAGTGGAGAGAGAAGCTAGCTCAAGAAAAACTAGGTTTGCTTTGCAAATAGGTTTCTGGGAATATAGGGATGTTAACAAGGGAGAATCCCAGGAAAAAAACATTAATATCTTTGTTACCGCAACTTCAGTCCTGAAGGAGGCATGACTTAAAAAGGCATTCATCAATTCTTTGAGAAAAATAGTCTCCCAGTGAAGATAAAGAGATGAAACATCTAATAGTTTATAACATGTACTTTATTTATTTTTATAGGTGAACTATACTTAGAAGAATTATAATGACTATTTGACAGCAATTACCTATTATGAACATTAAGTAATCTAGGAATCATTTTGCTGGCAACTTCAACTCTCTGGAATACATTCAAGAGTAAAGGAGCACTGACTGGTGTTATTCAGTGGTTTGAACACCGCCTCAGACACCAATGGGTCCCAGGTTCGATTCCCTGTCAAGGGCACATACCTGGGTTCTGGGTTCAGTCCCATCCCAGTCAGAGTGCATATGGGAGGCAACCAATCGATATGAGAGAGATGTTTTTCTCTCTCTCTTTCTCTCCCTTCTTTCCTCTCTTTCACTCTCTCTCTCTCTAAAAAAAAAAAAAAAAAAAAAAAAAAAAAAAAATTAATGGAAAAATGTCCTCCAGTGAAGATCAACAACCAAAAAAAAAAAAAAAAAAAAAAAAAAAAAGAGAGAGTAAAGGAATTGACTGTCACAGAACAGTCATGGGACTATAAAGCATAGAGACTATAGTCAATAATATTCTGAAGACTAGGGGAGGTACAGGTGAGTGCAGGATTTATGGGGTGGTCGCTAATTAAGTTATGTAATGCCTAGTCACTGGGTTGTATACCTGAAACTAATATAATGATGTATGTCAACTGCAATTGAAAATAAAAAATGATTTAAAAAAAAAAAAAAAGGAGAAAGTAAAGCAACGAGGGAGAGAAGCTGTAGTATAAGCAAAATACCTTGCACCAAGGGCTTGAACTCTAGTGCAGGACGCTCAGTGGTCAGAGTGTTGGCCAGGAAAGAAAGGGTCCTGGTTTTGATTCCCCGTCAAGGGCATATACCTGGGCACGGACTGGGGTGTGTGCAGGAGGTAACCAACCAATTAATGTGTCTCTTTCGCATCCAAGTTTCTCTTTCTCACTCTCTCTCTCTCTCCCCCCTCCTAACTTCCCTTCCACTCTCTAAAAATCGATAGAAAAAAATACCCTCCAGTGAGGATTAAAACAACAACAACAACAAAGGAAAGCACTGAAAATTAAATCTAATTTATTGGCTATTAAAAGACTTTCTAAAGTATGTTTAAAAATGGATACACATATAATTCCATATCCCACCTAGTATTCTAAATAATTCAAATCATGAAAATGAGCTTTTTGGTAATGGATAATATTTTACCACATTTTCTACAATGCTTGGAGAATTTTAGGACCATTGCATTTAGATAAGTTCTTCATTCTTGCCTAGCATTACCTGGATGTATGAAGTAATAAAAAAATTATACCTAATATTATATATGAAGAAATTTTTTTAGTTAACATTTGGAGCCAGTTTTGTTTTTGGTGTGTGTGTTGCGGGGGGGGGGGGGGGGGAGGTCAATCCAAAATACAACTTTATAACAAAAGGTCTGTTAACTACATTCTAAGGAAAGCATCTTCAACAATCTTGGTCTTTCTTGGAGGATTCTACTACCACTCTGCATTTGTGGAAGGATTCTTTCATGAATGACTGTAATTGGTAATCTCATAAGCAAAATTCTTTGTCCATGTACTGAGAGGCTCATTCAATCCTTATGCAATCATTTCCTGACATACTCATGCTTTCTTATCAAAAGAGGAAACTTATATTCACCATCACACAGGAATGTTTGAAATAACTTCATCCAATTTGGCTGACCTGGGAGGGACTCTTGCAAAATTCTATGACAGGTTGTAATCTGAATCTTCAAAAATAGTGTTCAAAAGGACATGTCAAATAATGATTGTGGTTGATTTGAAAACTCTTTTGACCTTATTCTAGTGCTTCCTGATTACTTTTGTCCCTGTTGATAGTGGGATCCTTGGCATTAAGCTGCATCTTAAACATAGTCCTGGGAGACCAGAAGAACCATTTCAGTTCTCTGTCTACAGAGGTACAGCATGGCCAAGGTCAACCACTGCCTTAGGCCTCCTGTGATCTGTGTGGATACAGACCTAGCAATGTTCACACAAGGCAGTGAGTACACTCAGTAAGGGATACCTGGGTGGATTCAGTGGGTTTGCATAGGGAATGAACAATGCCTGGCATATGGTAGGTAGTCAATAAACACTTATTGACTGGATTAACGACAAAGAAGAAATAAGTGAATGGTTGATGGAGAAAATGTGATAGCAAGAAAAGCAGGCTGTCTCAGGGACTGCAAAAGTGAGAGAACCTGTCAGAAGGCTTCCTTCCAATCAAACCAAGGTCTTGGTAGGGGGAAAAAAAAAAAAGCAACAATGACAAAAATAATCCTGAATTAAAAAACAGCCTGTGCTAGAGTGTCCTAATAGACCAAAAGCCCTGGGAGTGGACAGTAAGCTCAAGGAGCTCTGTTCATCATGATAATGAAAATAATATTACTATGAGTTCTTACTGTGTGCCAGATATTGTGCTAAGTGCTCTACACAATTTTTCTCTTTTAATCCTTACAACTCTCGTAAGTACTATTATTATTCCCATTTTACAATTGAAAACACTGAGGCTTAGAGAAATAGAACATGCCCAAATTTACATGAATAATAGGTGGTAAAACCAAGACTACAACCCAGGCTTATTGAAGTTCAACATCCATGATCTTAACTACTGTTATGCTCCCTCCTCTATACTGCTTAGCATAGTAACTGACCATAATTGGCACTGGATAATATTTGCTGAATGGATGGAGTAATGTGGGATGATGGCACTGGTGTGAAATTGGAGCAAATTTCTGACCACCTCACTAGAGCTTAGATATATATGCATGGCCTGACATTTTTTAGAAGCTAATACTAGGCTCTCTAAAGGACTCCATTCTTAATATTGACATGTTATTTTTGCATATCATTCTCCCCAAGCCAGAGTGACATCATGTTACTATTATCATCATTTTCAAGCATCAAAAACATGCCTTGCATAGAACATATATTTAGATACAAGAACTTTTCCATCTAATTAGTGTGCTCCACATCCTTCTTTTGCATCTCTTTTGCATGTTGAATCATATCTGAATCTAATGTTCCTTTTCATCTATAATTGTTCAGACATTTACATTATACATTCTATGGACTCTCAGAGTTAAAAAGGCTTTAAATAAGCATGTCCAATTGATTCATTTTACAAATAAAAAATAAGAGCCTTGAGATGTGAAATAATAATTTCAAAGTAACTACTTTTGTTGAGTACTTGTTCTGTGCTGGCCTCTGGGCCAAAATGCTCCACATCTATCTTTATTTAACTTAGTTGGTAGATACTATCAGCTATTATCCAACATTATGTACCATAGGTCACTTAGCTTGTCGGAGGCAAAGATGAGACTGGAACTCAAGTCTGTTGCCCCCTGAGCAGTCCTAGCTTCACTATACCACTTAGTTCTCATTAGTATTTTTAAGTGCAGTGACACTTCTGAAACCATTTTGGCCAACTGAGAAGAATGATTTGCAAAATATGCCTTTTTCGATGTTACTCATGATTTTATTGCTTTTTTTCAGAGAATGCTTTCAGCAACTCCCAAAGTATGGCATGGAGGGACATAGGCTCTTCAAACTCAAGTTAAAGAGGAAAAGAACACATTCTCAGTGAGCCATCCCTGGAGTAAGAAGAAACACTTACATAGATAATGGAGAGAACTCCATTATAGTTCTTGGTTGAAACATTGAGAATGATCTTTAGCTGCGAGACCAGCACTTGGAAGGCAGCAGCTGTTGTGAATCCGCCAATCAAAGGATCAGCCAAATACCTCACTATGAATCCAATCTGCAAACCCCCAAACACCAACTAGAACAAGAAAAGGAAGGACGAATTAAATGTTTGCCTGGGAGAAGACCCTACTCGCTTGAACTATTAACCCATTAAACTTATACCAATTTTGACTCTGATAACCTGCCTGTAACAAAAATTCTTGTAGGAAACAAATCTGAATTTCCTAATGCTCCACCTCTCCTCTCCATCACTCTAAAATGTGAAAAAAGTGGGAAATATTAACCTTGAGGTATTTCTAGATACATACTAAGAAAAGCAAAAATTATGCACCTATTCTTTTGCAAAGATAACAAGAAATGAGTTGTTCTGACTACTGGACTGAAAATTAAAAGCATTGTTTAGAGTGAACACCACTATGTTGTTATCTGCACCCATAGGAATGCCTTCCCTCTTTTGATATAACTGGTCCTCTTCCCTTTTTTATAAATATCCATTGCCTTCATCTCCTAATTGGAACATTAATTGGGCTTCTGCCTGAATCAATGCGTTTTGAATAGCTATTCTTATTGATCTCAGTAAATGATTGTTCCCTCTCACTTTGAAGGGCCTTTTATTTTTAGGTCATCAACAGTTAGTTACTTCAAATAAAAATCATGCCAATCTATATTTCACTTGTAGGTCCATTACCTGTATGATTCCAACCAAAAGAGTAAGGGTGCTCGCAATCAATATTCTTGCTGCATCTCTAGCCCCGTTGTCTATCATGGTAGCATTTGATATAGTTCCATTACTGCTGGGTATGAGAAATTTTTCGTCCGGGGCCAGGCTCAGAACAACAGATCCCACCATTAAACTGACCACTGGGAAAGGTCCTGGGAGAGAAAGTCTCTATCAATTAAAAATCATTAATCACAAGTGTTTAGGTTCAACATGTCATATCTACATAGGATTAGAAAGATGTGTGAGATAATTAGCTGTGATTGGGAAAATCTATATTGTTTGTTCATAAAAGAAGCTAAAAAGCAAATGTTTTAAGGCATTCAGGATCCAGAAATGAGCAGGAGAGAGACATGTAGGTAGATAATTACAATACAGCATTCAGGATGCTTTCTACATATATAGAAACGGTGTCTACGTATATAAGGGTGGGATCTCCATTGGTGGTGTGGGGGTGGTAGAGGGGAGAGTTGTCAGGTAAAGTTTCCTGACAGAAGTGGCATACAAGCTGAGTCTTTGCTTGTTCCATCTTACTTTTATTCCTAGAGCATCAACTGTTCTATTCTGTGGAGCTGAGTGCCTTCATCAATACCACAGTGTTCAAGTTAGAATAAAGACACAGTATAGGGAATGTATAGTTTCTCTTTTCAAGACAAATTATTTTTCTTCATATATCAAATGCCAGTCTGTAAGAGTCTGTTTAAAAATACTCCTTTTCTTCCAGCAATTTATCTACTTACTGCTGATATGTTTGTCCATGATGTTGATGATGACCCTACCCTTTACTCGTGGAAGGCTTTAACAAATGGGAGGACTCAGTCCCAGAATGCCAGAGAGAAAAAAAAATCAGCTTCTATGTTTCTTACCTCATCAAGCATTTGGTATTGATCAATTCTCCCAGATGAGGAAGTTCTTTCAATCAATAAAACCTCTTCCTGACCTCCTTCCAGGGACAAAGCAATATGCCAAATATGGGGGAACATACAACTAAGGACAAGGATATGGGTTGGGGATATAGTGGACAGTTGTCTTTGTTTCAAGAGGATTGCCCAGGTAGACATGTCCAGTCAGCGAATGGATGGGTGTGCAAAATTACCTCAAGTATAAACATCAAAGTAGCAGAGTAGCATTAAAAACATTTATTTAATAGAATATTCTAGCAAAAGAAAATCCAAATTTTAAGATACTGCAGGAAATAAACCTACTTTAAACCTATTTAAGAAGGAAAGCCAAGCTTAGTTTCTAAATTGTTTTGGCACGATTCTGCCAGTCTTCCAATCTTACTGACTTAAAAATAAGTATGCTCTTTAATGAAATAATGAATATGTATTTGATGAACAAAATTTAGTAAATGCTAAGCCAGTCTGGTAAAACAGTAAGTTCAAGGACCTCTTGAAGATTTTTATGGTCATTTTTTTGTTACGGGACAGAATTTTTTTGAAATATGGAGTCAAATCCTATACAATAAAAGGCTAATATGCAAATTGTCCCCTCAGGAATTTGACCAAGCAGGAGATGGACCGCTCACTGTGACATACACTGACCACCAGGGAGGTGGCATGGAAAGAAGGAAGGCCCCGGCCAGCCGCCGGAAGGCTATGATTGGCCCTGATCACAGGCCAGAGCTAGGGACTCTACCCGCGCACAAATTTCGTGCACCAGGCCTCTAGTTTATTATAATAATTAAAAAAAACCTAACCCATGCCAAAATATTAAAGTAGGCTGTAATTTTAACAATTTTTCAAATTCTCTGCTTCATGAAAAAAGAGTTAACTAAAGCAAACTGAAGGCAAAGTATTTTGAAAGCTAAGAAGAACCATTTGCATCTCTGAGTAGAAAAAGCAGGCAGAGCACTAAATCCCTATTTCTTTGGAAAACATTAACAAAGACATGGAAGTAAAATTCACACAATATGGCCCATACATATTAAACAGGAATATAAATTGTAGTATATGCTTATAATTACCAACTGAGATGTGTCTTGATGTCCCGAAGATAAAGTATGTCAGGATAGGGAAAAAAGCAGAGTAGAGACCATATCCAACAGGAACCGCAGCTAGTAAAGCGTACGCCATGCCTGAAAGTATATCCAAAGGGATTGAATTCGTAAACAAAAGTGACACTATATTTCTACTGTACAAAGAAAGGCCAATTTGCAGTGTCCTGAGTGTTCCCTTGTTGTGCCTGCAATCCGTAGCTAGCCTAGTTTGCAGAACATGATTCAAATCTGCTGGGATAATGATTGCATCTACACAAATCAACGGCTCTAAAGAACTGACTCAACTGATCAGTAATTGGATCACTCACTGCTCACAGGAATGGAAAAAGGAATCAAGTCAGTTGTTGATTAAAAAGTTCGTCAATTCAGCACAATTTATACTACCAGTTGTGCATTTAGGCAGTTTCACCTGAACTCAGTGTTTCTCTGTGTTCTGAGGGACACAGTCATTGTTGCTCTGTCCTATCTTGTTGGGGAACAGAAATTAGATTCAAACAAACAAAATGACGATTGTAGTAAGAGGCAGGCAAGACAGTGCCCCTGGGCTCTCCTCAGACATCAACTTCTCCACTACACTGACCCAAGCAGTTGTGGGTGCATGAATGTCACCTGGTCCGAAGAAATCTCAACTTTCCATGTACAGGAGAGGTAGAAGATGAGAATGATGTGCTCTTTTCCTGGTTAAATACTTCTTACATAGTTAGCACATTTTGGTCCATATTACCTTCCCATATTTCATTCACTTAATGTGAGAAAATAAATAAAGCCCTTTATAAGAGTAAGGAAAAAAAGTGGGGTTACAACCTGAATATTCTGGCCCATAAGTTCCCCAAAGTTATTTTTTGAATGAATGCCTCAAGATAAGAAAATAGTTAATTAAATTATACAGGAGGAAGCCCATCAATGTTCTGCTCTCATATAGATGTTTCTTCCTCTCTCTCCCTCTCTCTCTAAAAATCAGCTTTAAAAAATCAACCAATAAATGGATAAATAAGTGGATCAACAGACTGATGTTTCTCTCTCTCTCTCCCTCTTCCTCAAATTAATAAAAAAAACCATGGTTGACAAGACTGATACTCCACACTGGGACCGAAAAACGTACTCCTTCTCTGTGGGAATCTACCTGTCCTGCTCTGAGTAATCTCAAGAACTCCACAAGCAAATTTTGGCTCATGAATTGCTCAACAACTATTTCTAATTTCTGAAACAGTCACTACCAAGCCATCTTTCGACATTCTTCCCCACACCCCACTACGCTCATGCAGCAAACTCAGACTTAACCTTCAGGGAAACTCAGCTCCGACAATTCACCCTCCAGGCTGGGTTGAGTGCACGTGTGTGCACTCCCTTAGCAGGCAGTGTTACTTATCCTGGTACCACAGCCTTTACACCTAACTGTTATCTAATTTTCCACTGAACTGTGAGCTCCTTGGAAGCAAGTGGTGTATTTTATTCATGCCAGCATACCTGTGCCTGGCACATAGTAGATGCTCCATAAAATTATATAATAAATAAATGAGATTTCTGTTTTCATGATCCAAGGGACTTGTAGAATTGGGGGGAGGGCAGAAGCAAGATTGGGGGTGGGAGGCAGAGGAGAATGTTATTCACCAACTAGGCAATGGGTTTGCAAGATGCTCATGGAAATGTTATATAAAGCCAGTTTAAAAAAACAAAAACAAAGTAATAACCACCTATGCTGGGACATTTTGCCAGAGATTAAAATAAGGAGATGTATTAGAAAGAGGGGGATGAGAACAGAAAAAAAATGCTTATGTGTAGTTCAGGCTAACATACTTCCTCCACATTCCTTTAAGCCAGTTTCAAAGGGCAGGTCAAGACCATGTGCGAGATGTAAAGTAACTTTATGGGCTGTAATTATCATTTAAAAAAATATATAAGCATAATAAAACAAGACAGTAGAGCCGAAACCGGTTTGGCTCAGTGGTAGAGCGTAGGTCTGCGGACTGAAAGGTCCCAGGTTCATTCCGGTCAAGGGCATGTTGGGCATTCTTGGTTGCGGGCACATCCCTGGGAGGGGGTGTGCAAGAGGCAACTGGTCGACGTTTCTCTCTCATCGACGTTTCTAGCTCTCTATCTCTCTCCCTTCCTCTCTGTAAAATATCAATAAAATATATTATATTAAAAAAAAGCATCCGTCTTTAAAAAACAAAGACAGTAGAAAATATCAGCGTGCACCACTTGTAGTGAGGTAAATATTATTTAACAAAACAAGCTATACATGTGCACCGATTGTGATGTATAATAATACCTATTTCTTTCTGTGAACTATGGCCAACAAAAGTTGGGAAGCCACTGCTTGTGTAATAGGGCTGTAGTCGGGCCATCATTTGGCCTGGTCCTGCCAAGGCATGAGGGCTGAGTTCATTAACTGTCTGACCAAATATAGCAGGCTAATTTTTAAGATGATAATTTTGTAAGTCCCAGGAATGAGGTTACAAATACCCAAATGGCCCTTCACAGAAAATAGGTTCCTCACCCCTGAGAGAAACAGCATGGTTTCCCAGAAGGAGAACTTGAAGGAAGAGAAAGAGGAGGAAGAAGGATGCACTAAGAGGCTCTTGAGGAAAGATGACGCCTTCCAAGGTGAGAAGCTCTTGGTACAGACACATGGGAGCCTGGGGGAAGTTGTGAACTGTCTCTGGTGCCTGATTCACCACCACGTAGGGCCAATCCACCAACTCCTTACCTTGCAGCGTACCCACTAGCCCGGTGCTAACTCCCGAAATGATGTCACTGAGCAGCCATTCCTTGACTCGGTATTTGGGGAGCCAGTCCAAGACCGGCAACAGAGTCTTCAGCACCCCAACGGCTCTTTTTCTTGAGCAGCTGTCAAAAAGCAAGAAACCTGGGTTTCCCATCTAATCTCAGCTGCGAGCAATCACGAAGTTTTGAACTGAGCCCTTCAGGCTTTCCAATGTTTACAACTATTTAGAAAGAGAATGAGAATCGCAAATATCAACACGAAAGTACTGGCCATGCTTTTGTCAAGAACACTATCTACCCTTTTTAATGCACCGTGGGAGGAAACACGGGATTAAGTCTCCCCCACCTCCACCTTCTTAATCCTCTGAGAAAATATCCCTACAAAAGAACCCACTTTCCGGTCCAGCCACACATTAATCAATGGGGAGTCTCTAAATGGAGATTAATTTTCATACTTCTATCCCCAGGAGCCTTATGCTACTTTTCTTTTTCCTTTAAGAAAAATAAACATGTCGGGACCGGTTTGGCTCAGTGGTTAGAGCGTCGGTCTGCGGACTGAAAGGTCCCGGGTTTGATTCTGGTCAAGGGCATGTACCTTGGTTGCGGGCACACCCCAGTGGGGGGTGTGCAAGAGGCAGCTGGTCAGTGTTTCTCTCTCATCGACGTTTCTAACTCTCTGTCCCTCTCAATTCCTCTCTGTGTAAAATCAAGAAAATACATTTTTTTAAAAAATAAAAGAAAAATAAACATGCTTTGTATATTTTGGCAATACAGGCGTGGAACCAGTTTTGCAAAACTCTTAGCATGATAGATACACACCTTGCTGTACCTTGCTATTTAGTATTTTTTAAAACTCAACAACCAATAGACAAAAGAAAACAATACTAACAGTAAGTGAACATCCTTTGACTCCTGATAATAGAATTGTAATTACATATATTTTTAAGTACTTACATGTACTGGATATATATTTTTAAGAATCCCTAGACATATTTTATGTGTGTGTATACTTTTGCCATATATATCTTTGTATACACACACACACACACACACACACACACACACACACGACACTGGGGCAAAAGGAGGCTTACAGTTGTGAATATGAGAAACACAAAGTTCATTCTTGCATTATTATCCATTAATTATTGCATTACTTTCCATACAAACAACTGTAAACCTACTTTTGCCCCAATATATATATGGAGAGGGAGAGAGAGAGAGAGAGAGAGAGAGAGAGAGAGAGAGAGAGAGAGAGAGAGAGAGAAATAGGGTTGGGGGGGCAAGTGGGTGGCAATAGATGAAAGAAGATTAACTTTGAGCAGATCATCACTGAAGCTGGGTGATGGGTAAAAACATGGAGACGAGGTTCATTATTGCTACTATTTACTTTTGCATGTATGTTAAATGTCCTATTTTTTTTTTTTTTTAATGCTTTCAAAGAGAAAATCCGGCAGCAATCGCCCGTTCTCTGATCCTGTGCTTGTGATGTCTAATAACTGGCTGCCGGTTTGGGTGTGGAGACCAACAGAGGCTTCCCCGGGCCCCCTGCCTGGTGTGAAGGCCGTGGAGCTCCCGCGTCTGGCTGTCCCTCCCCGTCGTCTCTGGGTGGCATCCTGCCTGCAGGAGCTTGGGCTTTCTAGGACTCCTCCTGGTCAGGTGATGACTTGACCCATCCTCTCTTTTTAATCGAGCCCCTCGCCTCCCGCTCTCCTCCGCCTGGCCGGCTCCAGAACGCAGCCGGCGGGCCTGCTGGGTCCCCAAGGAGCGCTCCAGGGGTCCCCCCAGAGAGAGAGAGACAGCGCTCCCGGGCACACCCTCTCCCCAAAGGGCAGTCCTGAGACTGGAGTCCACTTGGAACGGAGGACGACGGAGCCTTCCTCCCACCGGGAAGGGCGCGCCGCGGACGGACCGCAGACCCGGGACGGGGGGTTGCGGGGGGCGGGGGGCTGCGGGGGGCCGGGGGCTGCGGGGGGCGGGGGTTGCGGGGGGCGGGGGTCTGGGGGGTCCGCCGCTGACCTGCAGCGCTGCGCCAGGCGCTCCCGCAGCGTCCTGCGCTCCTGCAGGCGCCGCTCGTGCCGCTGCTGGAAGGCGAGCTCGCTGTACACCGGCCTGGACACCTCGTAGCCGCCGCTGTACTCCGGGAGCGGCTCCGACCTGCGGCCCGCCGCCTCCATGACCTTTGAGGAGGAGGAGGAGGACGGGGAGGAAGGAGGCGATGGAGCCGGGAAGGAGAAGGAACGGTGAAGAGGATGGACAGGGAGAGGCCGCCTGCGGCAGCGGGTCCCGGAGAGCCCGGACCGCCGGGGCGCGCAGCCCCCCTGGGCGCTCAGCACCCGGCTCCCCGGGGCGCCCCGCCACCCGCAGGGGGCCCTGCAGACTCAGTGCCCGCAGCCCACACCTGCCTCCCGGGGCGCCCGGCTCTCCGGAAGGAGTGAGCCCCGCGCTGGGGGCTTCGGGAGCTGGACCCAGTCCGTCCCCTCCCCAGCGGGCAGCCAGGGCGCCGTCCGCGTTCTGAAATCTCCCCAAACTCGGGCTGCAACCCGGGCAAGGGCGAGGCTGGGACGGGACCTCAGGAGCGTCCTTCCCGCTTTGCCCCCCGCACCTGAGCTGGGGCGCAGCCTCAGGCGCCACCGGGGAGAAGCCAGCCCCGCGCCCGTCGGGGGACCCTCGGGCCGCGCCGGGCCCAGGCTGCGCGTACCGCGGGCGGATGCCAGGCGCAGGGCGCCGCGCCCCCGGGGACACAACTTTGGCGGGCGGGGGGCGATCTCCTCCGGCCTGCCTCCCAGCTTTCTTCCCACTCAGCCTCTCCGCCAGGGAGCTGTCCTGCCCCTGCCCGCTGCAGGCCCCCACACGGGTCCCCTCTCCAAACTAGGAGTCCAGCCGCGCTGGGTGGCGAGCGCTCCACCTGCGGCGGCGACCTCACCTGCTGCGGCTCCGCTCCTGCCCCGCCCGGAATGCCCGGGGCACGGCCGTTCCGCTGCCTTTATAGTGCGCGCGGAAGGAAGGCAGGGACACGCTTTATTTATGGAGCAATAGAGACACCTAAGTGGAAAAGAGGGACACACAGGCATCTGTCTTTCCCCATCTATGTCCTGCCGGGAAACAACCCCTACCCCTCCGCATTCTTTCTCTGTGTAGAGTCTTCCTGGCCACCCGGATGCTCGCCAAAGGAGGCTGGGGGCCAGGGACCAGGCAGCCCGGGGGACTGGGGGCAGCTGTCCGCCACTGCTGGCCTTGCCCGTGTTGTGCGAATCAGGAGCTCCACGGTCTGACACACAGCTCTCTCGCTAGGTTGGGGGGGGGGGGGGACGGAAGGGGCAGTGGCTGGGTTTGTATTTCTAGAAATACAGGCTTTGGATTTCTAGAAAGTCTTTCTTTAGAAATACCCAGGGAGTGGTGGCTATAGAGAATTCATAAGTTATTCATAAATTTAAGATACATAATTCTCTCTCTCTCTCTCTCTCTCTCTCTCTCTCTCTCTCTCTCTCTCTCTCTCTCTCTCTCTCTCTCTCTCTCTCTCTCTCTCTCTCTCCCCAATCAAAATCAGGTGTCCAGGTGGCCCCTTTCTTACCTGACTGACTCTTTGGTTCTATCTTCTCCTTTATCTGGACCATCCAGGAGGGAATATGCTGGACTGAACAGGAATCTAGACCAAAAGAAAGTGAGGGGAAGTCCCATCTATTCTACCTCGTCAGTGTTGTGTTTTCTTCTGGGGAGACTCTTGTTACAACTGACGTGCAGTTGAAAGCGAAGGGAGAGCAAGTTTGGGTGAACAGGATGATTGTCTCCTGGTTACCAGTGTCCTAAAGTAAACACAGAGAGGCTTTGGACACCAGCCTTCGGGTACCCACGCAGCTGGGAAACACAGACCAGGCAGTTTCGGAAGGGCCCAGAAACAGAACCCAGGTGGAAAGTCCTGACATGGTACTCAACATGATGTGCAAAGGAGCAAAGTTTTCAACAGATCTTCAAAGGCTTTCTTGACCCAATAAGGTTATAACCCTTGAAGAAGGAACGCAAAAAGAAAATCCACATCACAAACTTTAGAGTTCTTACTGGATAAGAGTTAAGAACTAATGGTTTGCAAATGAGGGCTATTTTGCCCCCAGGAGGCAGTTGGCAATGGCCAGAGACATTTTTGGTTGTCACCCCTGGGGAGGAGTGTTGCTGAGAGCTAGTGGGTAGAGGCCAGGAATGCTGCTTGCATCTATGATGGAGTTTGCAGTCCCTTTAAGATTCTGTAAGTTATTAAAATGTACGTTTTTTTAAGAGCCATTTAGCTCAGTGGATTGTGTGTCTACCTTGGTCTGAAGGGTCCTGGGTTTGATTCCAGTCAAGGGCACATTCCTTAGTTGCAGGCTAAATCCATGGCCTTGGTAGGAGTGCAAGAGTGGGAGGCAACCAATTGATGTGTCTCTCACATCCATGTTTCTCTCTCTGTCTCTCCCTCTCCTTTCCACTCTCTCTAAACATCAATGGAAAAAAATATCCTCAATGAGGATTTTTTTAAACCACATTTATTAATAAATTGATATGTGACACTAAACATACACACACACACACACACACACACACACACACACACACACGAGCCCAGTGCATGGGATTGATGCACTCGAGGCAGTGACAGGGAGGGGGTGCGTTGTCAGCCCAGCCTGGGTCCTCTCACAGTCGGGGGTCCTCAGGAGCACTGCGGTGGAGGCAGGAGAGGCCCCGGCCACCGCTGCTGTGCTTGCCAGCTGTGAGCCCCACTCAGGGCTTCTGGCTGAGTGGTGCTCCCCCAGTGGAAGCGCACTGATCACCAGGGGGCAGCTCCTGCATTGAGCATCTGCCCCTTAGTGGTAAGTGTGTGTCATAGCGACCAGTTGTTCTGCCATTTGATTGATTTGCATATTACCCTTTTATTATATAGAAAATATGGAGATATATACAGTACACAGCTATCCATAATGTGGATGCATTTCTACAAGCACGTTATTGTTGGATGTGAAATTCAACTACACTGAAATAGAGGAAAGGATTTGTTTAAAAATATTTTTCAGAGAGGAAGGGAGCAAAAAAGAGAAACATCAATGATGAGAAAGAATCACTGATGGGTTGCCTCCTACACGCCCCCTACTGGGGATCAAGCCCACAACCTAGGCATGAACTCTTGACCAGAATCAAACCCCAGACCCTTCAGTCCACATGCCAATACTCTATCCACTGAGCCAAACCATCTAGGGTGAGGAAATAATTTTTTTAAGTGAATTCTGATTGTACTCACTCTGTAAACCCTCACATATATCTTTATGGTCCAGTTAAGCCACTGTCTCCTTCATGAACATTCCTTGATGCTTTCAGTCAGATTAAATTTAATTTCTTTTCTGGGTTCTCTTGGTACCTTATCTGATCCTCTCTTTGTTGTTGTTGTTAATCCTCACTTGGGTACATTTTTTTCCATTGCTTATCAGAGAGAGTAGAAGAGAGAGGAGAGGGAAGAATGGGGAGGTAAGGAAGAGTGGAGAGAAAGAAAAAAAGAGAGAGACAGAGGAAGAGAGCTGCTATTTTCTTAAAATGTCTTTTACTATCCATCTTAGTATCATAATTTTATTTACATATCTCCCTCATTAGACGAAATCTTCTTGAGGACAAACACTTTGACTCCTTTCAACCATTAATGTTTCCTAACAGATAGATTTATAGCCCAAAGATTTTAAAAAATAGTTTATTGATTTTTACAAAGAGAGGAAAATAGGATGAGAAACATCCATGTAGAGTGAATCTGATCCAGCTAAACGTGGGACATGCACCTTGACCTGGCATCCAACCAGCAACCTTTCAGTACTCTGGAATATGCCCAAGCACCTGAGCCTCACTGGCCAGGAGGAGCCCACAGATTCTTTAAAAAATAAAATAAAATACAATACATATTGGTGTACAACTTTTTTTTTTAATTAAGGCTATGTCACAATTATCTGTCTACGTGAGTTCATATGAATTTTGTTAACTTTGTCAATAGCTGCCTGGGACCTAATACTATTAACTCATTCATACTGAGTTCCACAGTAACTTACCTAGAGGTAAGTTACATGAGTTCATTAAGTAACTTCCTTGAGTTCATTAAGAGGCATTCTGTGCAAATATAAATACAACCCTTATTCCATTCTGATAGCCATTTTTGCCCCCTGTTACTGCTATTTTGACACTTTTGGTCTGGTCTAGTCGGTTCTGTGGACCACTTTGGACCAGAACGGGGTGATAATTTGTGGGTAACGATTTGTTGGTGATTCCAAGGAATAAGGAGTGGGGTAGAGGTGTCAGAAGACAGGGGAAAGAACAGGCTTTCAGATAACACCAGGAGACAAGTGTGTACCTTCCCTTGGAGAATAGGCAGAATTCTTCTTTGAACAGCATTGTTCTGTATGAGAACTCTATTTCATAATTACCACACTATAATAATAAGTCCTGCATGGACTTAGAGGAAAATTCTGCTTTCTTCTGTTAAATGCATGGACAGAATGACATCTCCCTCACAGGTTTCTATAAAAGTATAGAGCTGCTTTTCTCCTAGATCTGAATTTGGCTGTCTTTTAAAAACAGAGATGAGTAGGAGGTGAAAACAGCTTGCTCTCCCCACCCAATTTGCTTGTTATATCAAACACCTCAAATTACTCAGGCTTTACAAGTTTCACCTGTTCCCCATGGAGGTGGGCAGCTCTTTTTCTTTAAATGATAATTTAATCATTTCCAGGACTTATATATCATTTCAAAATAAATTGCTACTTCCTAGCACATACTTAGCAGTTAGTGCTGATTTTAAATGTGTTTTTTTAAATTTATCACTTAGGCTCTTTGTATGTAAGGCACCATCTTTGTGTTGGGGATACAGCAGTGAACAAGCTTGACATAGTTCTGCCCTCAAAGGACTATAGTCTAGTAGGGGACAGTAACTCTAAGCAGATAAATCAATCAGATAGTATTCTGTTATAATAAAAGCTATGAGAGAAATAAGCAGAATGATATGTAGAATGACTGAGGGGGGCAATGCACAGCACGGGAAGAGGGTGGTTAGGGAAATTTTTAGAGAGATTTGAAGTACCAGTAGGAGAAGGCCTGCCTGAAAAACAAAACAGCAAAGGCAAAAAACTCTGAGTCAGGGCAGAGCTTGATGGGCTTGAAAAACAAAAAGGAA